ATATAGTAGCGTTTAACGAGCGTGTAAAGAGATTATTAGAGAAACTGAAGTTTTTAATTAAAAATTGTTAACCTGTTACCATCGGAGGCGGGTTTAGGACGTAATGTAAATCATAACCCAACATAAAACTACTTTAAGACTGCCTGGACCTTAAGTCCTACTTAGCTAATTATCTTTTACAACGTTTACGAGTTAATGTTCTCATGCTTTGAATTAGGTATTAAAATTTTTCAATTATCTAAAAGCTTCTGATTTTTAAGAAGAACCCTAAAACGCGTAATATCTGTTCCAAACGAAAGTTAACTGGAGTTTATTTTTTTGGCTACTACCTCGTAAATAATAATTTAAAACTTTAATGAGTGCTTCGTTCCAATCATTTGTCCTGCATGCAAAACATTCAGGCTTTATCCTTGTAAGCTAATTAAGGCTTTAAGTAGGTAAAACTAACAAGGTAGAGTGCTTGTTTTCGTTCTAGAGTTCTTTAAAAGGGCATGTATTGACAAAATAAGTAGTTACCTACATAAGTTAATCACTGGGTACACTTGTATTTCTTTGGATGATAAAAATTCAAGCACAGTTTTCATACTTTAGACTTTAGACGACTGTGTCCTACACAATTTGTTTCAAGCAGTTAATCCAGGAAACGATTGTGAACACACGAGGCGCTTTGGTTTTAATAAATTAACAAATTAAATAGTAAACTAGCCGAGGTTTAAGAATACCTACCTACCTACCTGAGCATAGAGGTGCGAGCCGGGGACGGCGCGGACGCATATGCCGGCGCATCTGTCTCTATCGCGCACACGATTACAAAGTAGCGCACGAGTCCAATCAGGGACAGGGTGCTCCTTTTTATTAAACTTCTAGCTTTAGGTAACTTCATTCTTCTACCCTATATTATATTTGTAACAAACGTTTTTTATTTTAGGCAGGTACCCAAGTAGAAATTGGTATTAATGGCAAAATCTTACTTGTCTTAACCCTATCTAAATTTACACTTAAGCTAAAACCAAATTAACTTAGAATAGAGATTTTTTTCTTTAAGACTATATATTCTTCATCGAGCGCTACTTAAGCAAATTAAGAATACCCAAAACCAAGTTAAGTATTCTTTAGATAATTTGGTCTTAAGTTATTCTTAGCTTAAGTTAAAAAATACTTATTTTACTAAATTAAGATTTTTTGTATGCTCACTTAATACTAAATAGTATAGATAAAGTATTATTTAAGTGTTGCAAAGTAAATAAAGTATTCGTAGATTTACTTAGGACTTTTTAAAGACCATTGTCTTAGAAATAGTTTTCTGAAGATTAAGTTAATTACTTTTTGACTAGAATTAGTACATTTTGAGAAAAAATACTCTTAACGGGACGATTTCTATAAAACATGATCACGCCTATTAATTCAAGGTAATGCACCTGCGTGCGCAGCTTATTGTAGGTATTAATTTTTGATACAAAATGCGTGCGGTTGCCCGCAAACTAAGTTATGCTATTACTAGCGGCCGCCTGCGACTTCGTACGCGTGGATCCCGTTTTACCCCCTTCATCTATCTTACTTTAGATTTTTTCATACAAATGTTTTTTCCCGCTCACTCCCGTTACCGTGAGAATTTTGCAATATCCTGTTGCAACTAAGCTTTAAGTTTACTAAGATACCTGCATGCCAAATTTCAAGAACACGAATTTAAAAGCAGATTTTTTTCAAAAAGTATCATTTTTTATTATTTGTTGGCCTTTTTTGTGTATTGTATGTATTTTTTTAGTATTGCCTGTTATTTAGCATTATTACTGTTTTTATTTTACCAGGATATACCGCTTAGTTTAAAAGTTATTACGTTTTCTTTACAATAAGTAATTGGAAGAAAAAAAATTCTATAAAAAATTAAAAAAAAATCTCAAAAATTTATTGACCTCTTTTTTGTCGATAAAAATAGGTCTAGTTTCATCTATTTTCATATGTACACTTTAACGTGACTCACACTGTATAAAGGGCGGGCAAAAAATCTGGACACCGCGCGCTAATATTTTGCCTTAATCTAAGAGGTGCCATCTATTGGCCAAACTACGTGAACTACCTGTCATCTAGCGCGCGGTGACATCTATCGGTAAACTACCAAACCTTAAACCGACGTCAACACTAACAAGAAGTGTCGTTAGTGATCTAGTTACAAAAACTGTTGTTTTGGGTTCTGGAAGTTCTGAAAGCCTGAACGTACTTGTCAGAACGCGTTTTTCTAGCGTTTTTCAGCGTGCTTTTGGTAAATAGTAGGTACTGGATTAACGATTAACGGACTTAGGATAATTTAACGGAAGTTAACGAGTCCGTTAACATTTTTTAATGTTAACTTAAAAGTTAATCCGTTAATAGAAATGTTAACTTCGTTAATTAACGATTAACGAATTAACGAGTTAATGTCCAGCTATGGATATTGGTTAAATACTACCATTCCATAGACTGACATTTTATCGGAAAAGTAAGTAGGTGTAGGTAGGTATCAGTGCTGTTTGATAGTCTTTTGCACGTTTGGCTTCAACAAAGATCTTCTAAGCTGCGTAGCAACTTACGAGAGATGTATTTCAAACTCACGAAATCACGTTAAATAATCACTTTATTACCTACCCTATCTACCTACGATTAGATCAAAACCACAACAATGTTCGTCGGAGAAGTGACGTGTGAACAAATTGATATCAATTCTTCAAGGTTTAAACTGCAGTTTAGTGATGCACGGCCGGGGTATGCTACGCAGTAGAGCCATTACGTTGCTATGCAGTTGCAACGGAAGATCCAATATTCGCACAATGCTCGGTGCAACAATGTTGCCTCGCAGCATTGGTGACAGAATACGCACCAAGGGCATCAATCATTGGATAAACGTCTACTGACTTGATTGCTGAGAGGAATAAGCAACTTATTTACATCATCTCATTGGTGCCATCTTCCTTAGAGATAGGTACCTACGCCTTCCTTGGCTGTATTATTTATTTATTTATATTGGAAGTAGTAGTAGAATTGATAGGAAGACCAGGGTTTACATAATTGATTACTAAGAGCCTTCAGAAAGCTATCAGGTATAGATGTTCCGTTTGGTTGGTGGTAGGGTTTGTTCTAAGTCCGCCTGGCTAGCTACCACCATCTTACCTAAGTCTGCGGCATAACAAGTTAACAGCATTGTTGTGTTCCGGCAGATAAGTCAGTTCCTTTGTGCCAGAGAGGAACTGAGTCACCCAGAATCCTCAACTACACAGTCTGTCTGTACTCTCTGTCGGAAGCTCGCTTTCACCTTCGGCCTGACCATCACTTAAGCAATTGAGATATAGGCCAGGAGCTTTCTCGTCGTGGTTAAAAAAATCATCAGGTCAATAGTCTGCACTGCAGGAACAAGATACTCGCCAATTTCCGAGAGGCAAACGAAGGACTGAATTTTTTGCGAATGGTACTTTTTACAGCTGGAGGCAGACTCCGAAATATAATAGCGTGGCTACATGTTTCTCTGTGTTCCTGTGCTACATTGAAGGCAATTTCAAGTCAAGTGCTTTTGTTTACATATCTGCCTACGGCTGGAAGGGCACCGTTTAAGTGAAATTGTACTCATTATGGTTGCTATAGCACAGAACCACTCGGAACATTGGCACGCGAGCAAAAGGTGCATTGTGTTTTACTTTATTGAAGCAAAATGCAAAATGACACGCCGTTTTTGTAATATACAATTTATTTAAACTTTTACAGGACGGTGGTATTTATCACATGTTTTACAAAGTCGTTATTTATTTTATTACAAAAACATTATTCAGAGATCAACTTCTTACATACTAAATGAAATAAAATTGGAGTACTGAATTTACAGCCCGTTGTATTGACCCCAGAAAGTAATGATAGTTTGAAAAATATATTGTCAAGGGTAGTATAAAAATATGTATAAGTACTCTACAGATAGATGAATCATACGTAATTGTATGCAGGCACAAAAGGCTTTGTTTATTCAAATTATTATTGGCTATTTACACAAATCTCCATCACGGATAATGAAGAATGTTCACTAATTTTGTTTTTTAGCTTTCTGTATTCTCCGTTAAAAATAAAAAATACACGTGAAAGAATTATTTCGATACGTCAATTAGTTTCCAAGATATTGAATTTTAAAAGTGCGGGCGGCGGCCGGCCCGCCATTTAATGCGCGTGACGTCATATTACAACGACTGGCTCATATTTGTATGGGTGGAATCTTGCAAGCTGAATTAAGACCCACTTCCGGGCAACCGATTAAGCTGAAATTTCGCATACACATGCGATTTGGATGACCATGCAATATTATGAAGACGTGGAGCTGATCTGATAATGGAGCTGGAAGGTGGCCATAGGAACTCTATGATAAAACGACTTAAATCCATCGAGTTTGGGCTCGTTAGTTTTGTATTGATGAGTACTTTAATTCTATATAGTAATCAGGGTCTGATGATGGAGCTGGAAGGTAATTCGCAATAAAACGACACAATCGCATCAAGTTTGGGTTTGGTTCAATTTTAATTTCTGTGATGGGTCTGGGTGTGAATATGTATAATAAGTATGTATTTCCAAAAAAAAATGTATTTAAGTATGTTTATATCCGTTTTCTAGTGAGCGGCCACTGTGAATGTACGTCACGCGGGGTCACGTGACCGTCGGCGGGTCTCGATATTTAAGCGAACTTTGAATGCCTATAAAATCATAACTACTTGGTATTTTTTAATGAAATAAAAACAAATGTATTTGTATATGTAAAAGCTTAACTGTAACATAGGTTTCAAGTGATTTTGCATACCTAGTAACATTCTCAATTGGATAAAATATTATTTCAAATGTTTTAAAGCTTCCAGGCACATTGAGTACAATTCTACTCAGGCTTTGATAACACTGAACTCCTTTCTCGAATTCTTAGTAAACACTACCATCCAAATAATTTTAAGACCTCACTATATTTGGGCTTTAGTAGATACATTAAATAATAGGTCTGCTTAATCCATTTGAGACATCACATCCTTATAACAAGAAATGCATGGTGGGATTTTATAAGCCCAAAAAAATCAGCATTGTCCATATTTTTAGGTGTCAGTTAGCACTATAAAGAGCTAAAACCCTAAAACCATTTATTGGAAACTCTTCGCACAATGTGGTACAGTCAGCGTCAAATAAATAAATAGTTCGTGACACAGCAATACGTTCACAACTGTTGTTGATTGTTGCCTGACAGTACCAATAATCACAACACCTATTTGTTAGTCGGAATAAGGTTGGCCACTTTGAGTGTCACAAACTATTTGATGCTGAGTGTACTAGCAGTACGCAGAAATACAGATCTTATTTAATAAATATAGTACATTCTAATTTAAAATATAAATAAGTTCATAAATATATGTATGTATAAGTAGGACGGATTGAAATCATCACAATATTTACTTTCAGCTAAATATTAAATGCACTATTTTTTATCAAATCAAATTTCTTTATCAAGTTGTCAAACACATTAATCCATTTTGAACTTTATTTCGAATGGTATAAATCCTCATTATCATTGACATTCAGTTTGACTGTATTTGTATTCCTATTCTTAATAATAATTAAGTAACTAAGCCACTCAATGTTTTAAAACACTAAAGTTTAATTCATATTTGTGTAGTTAATTATAATTAAAATTGTACGTCGAGGTTTGTACGGTATTTACTATTATGACACATTTTTACAACCTCTCTCTAGCTTATCTAGATACCTATATTCAAGTAAATTATTGGTCATTCATTCTTTGTTCATGTTATAAAAAATATTGACTTACCGAATAATTATTTGTTTTGATTGTTATGCCGGTTACTAACACGTGTCAAGATGTTTGTGAAGATGCATAAAAACTGTGTGTGAAAGGCCATTGGCACATATTTGTGCAAATATTTGAACTGCGTGGAAAGTTGTTGAAGCATTCTGTCACGAAACTGATGATAGATTAGGTACGCTATATGTATTTGTAAAAACTGTCTTCGAAAATATTGGAAATCGTATTTGCGAAAAATACTAACTTACCAAAGACGAAAGATACGTACAAACATGTTGACAAACATCTTGACAAATATCTGTGATACGTACAAATATGTTGACAAACATCTTGACAAATATCAGTTCCAAGAGCCATGGCCGTTGCCGGGACTAGCCGGAGAAGAGGTTATGGATCCGTTGAGCATGGAGTCGTCTGTGCCGTCCTCTACGGCCTCATCTTTAGGATGCCGGCAGAATGGGCAGTGTCCTTTCGTCACCAGTTGTATCTCGTAGTCCTCCATGTAGAACAGCTGTCAAGAGAGAACGCATTACAGAAATTCGCAGGTGGAAAAATACTACAGTGCTTATTTCAATATGTTATGATATTTTGCAAAACAGCAAATTCAATATGGACACTCTTATCTGCCTACAGTATGGCCTACAGCGCCAAAACGGCGAAAATCAAGTAGGCACAAAAATATTATGACAGCAGCCAGTCCAGTGTGTATACAGGGTGTTAGGTAAATGGGTATATGAGCCGACACTAGCCCATGTTAACATGGGCATATTAATGGTATGGTGAAGTCAAAAATTTGATATCATATTACATTTTTTTGATTTTCATATTACTAAATTTTATAAAATCTGATTTGTATGAAAATTAAAACAATTAAAATGGAGATATCAATTTTCTGAGTTCACCATACCATTTATATGCCCATGTTAACATGGGCTAGTGTCGGCTCATATACCCATTTACCTAACACCCTGTAGAAGCAGGCGTGTTCATCTCCGCGAGTTTGCAACGAAAACAAAACACGCGCGACTACACCTCCTGAGATATCTAATCGACAGGACAATCATGAGCGAGCACTGACGCACCCACGTGTATTCTTCACCCATTTGCATTGTAAAGACAATAAACTATGTATGTAAAAACGGTGGTGTAATTAACCCTATGGCTTCGGCGCAGTACCGATCACTGACGTTTGTCAACAAAATGGTGCTCGACTATTGAGACAAGCTAACTTACACTATATTGTTAACGACATTGAGCATATTTTTTATTAAATACCTTCTGTACGTAGTACTTATTATTATTCTGTGATAGAGGTCAGTGAAGCTACTGTATTTAGCAGCTGTACTCACGTGGCGGCAATGGTGGCAGGCCACACACGGCAACTCGGGCAGCATATTGCGGTAGAGTTTCGGCGGCAGCGGCGGACGCGTCACGCACACCACACAGCCGGGACTTAGCTGTAACAGTGCCTGTCGACTGCACACCACCACGCCGCTCTCGTTATCCTGGAGGTAGGGAAACGATGTTATAATAAATATATTTTTGAACCATTTCAAACAGCCCCAAAGTAAGCAACTAATATGCTTGTGTTATGGGTGCTAGCTTAACGGATAATTTAACTACTTAAATACTTTTTTTAAATACCTAAATATATGCATAGTCAAACCCAATACAGATGTTCAATACTGAACCATCCCAGCTATGATATTGTCAGGAGGTCGCTACTATCAATACTGGATTATTTTTTTAATTGAACCTTATAATTATGACATTTACAGGAGAGCATTACCATCTATCAATACGGGTTGTTTGTTTTTAATTTTGCCACTTGACGTTCCAAAGTCGCTTGAATATTAATTTATCGATTATTTCATTGATTCAGGCTTTGCGTCGTCCTACTAAATAGCACAGTTGCGGTAAACACGCGTATTCTTCAACCATTGTAAATAAATTTTTCACTATGAAAATAAGAAAAAATACGGGTGTGGTGCGCTAGAAGCAGTAGCTTCTTGTAACAGTCAGCCCTATCGCATCGACAAAAATATTGCCAGTCTTACTTTATCAGTTTTGTCTAAGTCTATCCGCAGCACCTCAGCACCACCTGTGTCCTCCAAATCCTGCGTCTCTGCGAGAGGAGAGCGTTGGATCAGCTCCATCGCTTCCTCAAACGAGATGCCTTCTAAAATGAAGCAAGTCTGACCTCGTCAGCTTTGTCCAGGAAGGGGTCTGAGGCATCAGCATCACGGTCTATCCGCAGCACCTCAGCACCACCTGTGTCCACGAAATACTGCGTTACTGCGAGAGGAGAGCGCTGGATCAGCTCCATCGCTTCTTCGAACGAGATGCCTACTAAAATGAAGCAAGTCTGACCTCGTCAGCTTTGTTCAGGAAGGGGTCTGAGGCATCAGGGTCACGGTCTATCCGCAGCACCTCAGCACCACCTGTGTCCACGAAATCCTGCGTTACTGCGAGAGGAGAGCGTTGGATCAGCTCAATCGCTACCTCGAACGAGATGCCTTCTAAAATGAAGCAAGTCTGACCTCGTCAGCTTTGTCCAGGAAGGGGTCTGAGGCATCAGGATCACGGTCTATCCGCAGCACCTCAGCACCACCTGTGTCCTCGCGATCTTGTGTCTCCGGGAGAGGAGAGCGTTCGATCAGCTCCATCGCTTCTTCGAACGTGATGCCCTCTTCTGGCTCGAACTGCACTAGCGGCAACACCTCTGTGAACAGACAATGTTTTACTGAAATATTTACTTATAGACCAATGGCTGACTTGGTCGCTTTTTATAATATGTTGTGGCCTGTGGCTGAGTGCTTAGGTATCCAACCAAGACGTGATCTGTAGCCTTATTCACGTAACAAAACTTCAACGACAACAAATCGCTGAGTTGCGATCCTATTGAGTAATCGTTCTATCGAAATGACCCTGGTGAATACGGATTTAGAAATGTTTTTCAATGGGACGACTTCTGAACGTCAGCGAGATCTTGACTGTCAAAATACGTGAGTTAGGCCACTGATCGGGATCTATTTCGTTTCTAGATGAATCTGTAATGCGAAACGCATTATGTGCTTGTGTTCCTGGTCAGTTACAGTGAGTGGCCAAGGAGGGCGCCAGCGGCACCACCTCATCGTCGCGTATCTCACCACCGCAGCTCGCTTGTATTGTCAGTTATAGATCGTTTCATCCACGAAGACGCGCCCCACCATTCTTCCGCTAATGTTTGAGTGTTATCGGTACACGCTATCCATGAGTGCACACTGCACATGCACACTACAATAATGAAGCTCGGATTGCTCGGATCAAACACCCCGCGCTTCCCTCGACCAAAAATTGGTGGCGCAAGTCTACGTGTATGAAACGATCTATAGACGTTAATCGAGTAGTTACCATGAGTGGCCAGCGAGTGCGCTAGTGCGTGGCGGCAGTGCGGGCAACGCGTGGTACGCGGTACGACAGATTTATATTATATGTAAGTACCTCAGTTTGTATAGAAAACACGCGCGGCACACAACACACTGAAAACGCGTATGCGCGCGGGATTCGTTATATGTCGCCACGCGGACCGCGGCGGAGCGCGGTGCAGTGTGATAATCGCCGTAGACGCTGCTAGTCAGTTACCATGAGTGGCCAGGGAGTGCGCTAGTGCGTGGCGGCAGTGCGGGCAGCGCGTGGCGCACAGCGGCGGCGCGTGGCGGCGGCAGCGCCAGCACAGCGGCGCCACTTCTTCATCTCGCGTCTCGCCGCCGCAGCTCGCTCGGATCTTCAGTATCATTAGTTCGACGCTTTCCTATGGAACCAATGATATTATATAAAAACAAAAGCAGATATGTTATAAGCGCTCGCGCTGTGAATACTCAAATACGTCCCAATTGGGACGTCTTGTGTTTAGTCTTCGTGTGGCCAGGGTCGTGCGCAATCGCGTGCGTACCACACCGTAAGTTCCTGTGTTCTTACCAAAATAAATAAAAAATGCCATCGTGTGTGTACCAATTATGACTCTAAAGTAAACAAAATACAAGGGATCTCTTACCACATGTGATTATGCAAAATTATTTAGTATTTATATTTTCAATTATTTATGCAAACAATCAAGACGCCATCGCGTCATGCGCCATGTTCAAGTTAAGAAAGAGAAAGCGATCTTGTTTTGACATTAGAGCGATAAGGATGCGTGCGCTGCGGACATAGATTAGTTAGTGCAGAATCGTTAAAACTATAGCTATCTCTTTCATTTGCGTGCTATTTCGTATCTTTTGTTTCACTTATCAGTTACATTTGTCAATGTGTGCAATTTGGAATAGCTCGGCACGGATTAAAATCGTAATTTCTATGAACGTAACATATCTATAGTTCTGTAATATCATTGTATGGAACACAATAAAAAGACAGTGTCAGGACCTTAAATGCGGGCATCCGTACTCGTGTGGTGCGCTTGCGTAACGGGTTTAAAAACGCGCGGTGGGTGGCGGGTGCACGCCGCTTGTGTGACTTTCCGTGAAGTAATAGTAAATGAGTGCCCCCGACCGACATCCAGACAATAGAGCATTCACCCGCTCCGTATCCACACGCGAGTTAAGAATAACTATTACAGATTTACAATTTGATAAAAAATTAAGATGGAACACATCCTGCATATTTGGTCCTTTTCATTTCATGTTACATATTTTTTTGAGAAAGGAAATACGGTAAAATGTCTATAATTGAAAAATAGTTTCCGTCACCGATGAGCGTGTTTATTGCACTGAAAAATATTATAGCAATTGAGTTAAGCGTTGTCGGTAAATTGCGGTGTCGGCGAAACGTAATATGTCGAGTGTGCTCGTACAGATACATTAATTTATAAAAATTGTGAATATACCTGAAACTTCTGTGGTATTTGCAGCGCTAAGATCTTGTCCAGCATTTGCCGGGCGAGCGTGTGCGCGTTCAGAGCCTTCGCTTGCTTCGCCAGGCATAAGTACAGGCAGCTGGGTGGTGTTGAGGAAAATATTTCAAATATTCTAGTGAATTTGATAAATTGATGGACGCTCTCCCAATCACACACAGGGTGACCCCTAGATGGGTGATCAAACAAAAAGGATTGATTCTACTGCTGTAATGCAAACACCTTTTTCTACAGAAACAATATCCACAACCTAAAAAATAATTAACGTCCCCACGCTGTATAATTGGCTGATTACTGATGATAATTTGTATGGAATGGTAGTTTTTTTTTGCATTTGAGCATTAAAATCCCTACCAATAGGTCAACCAGTCACTCTGTATGGTTCGTTTCAGCCAAATGACGTCCATTGACAAAGCTACCGACCTGTCCTGCGCTGCCCGCATCCAGGTTCTTCGACCGCGACCGCGACCTTCAGCAGATTGTCAGTCCACCTAATAGGAGGCCTACCCGCTACGACGCTATGTCTTTCGGCCCGTGGTTGCCTGACTTTCTGCTCGAGAACTTTTCTGCATAATAATATTTTTTTAAATATGTTTAAAGGATACAATTTAGAGACCCCAGGCGGCGGGCCCGAGTCAATCAGCGCTAGCACGTAACGCGCCGCGTTCAGCAACGCGTCGGGTTGGCTGAGCGAAAACGGCTCGTGCACGCAGCGGTGCACCGCCTCGTACGCGTGGTACACGCGCGCGAGACGCTCGTTGTGCGCGTACTGGCGGAGGCTGGACTCGCGCTCTCTGGAAACATGTTTGAATTTGGAACGGTAACAAAATAATTTTACTAGCGTTCCATTAGGGCACCTTCACCTGCGTTTCTTTTCAGCACTTGCCATATGTTTGTCTCGAAGCGCTGGTAGGGCCCAAAACATAAGGAGACAATATGTAAAGTGCCCCAAAAGGGCTACCTTTTCTTTTTATTGTTTGTTATATTTGACGTTCATAAGTGCCACTTGTGGTCTAAACAGAATAAATATTTTTGATTTTGATTTTTGATTTTCAAATTAGAAGCATATGAGAAAGCTATCTGCCGCTACCTGCCTATGCCACGTCACTACTTGTTTTACTACAATTTCTAGGAGCGCAACGCACGTTTTTCACGGAAGTGGACTGCGATTGCGCTAATAGGAATTGTATGAAAACTACACTTGCGAGCAAAAGTATGGAATCACTTACATGAAGTTGTTTCCACGCGATCTTGTGTACTAACCAATTTGTTAGTAACAAAAAAAGTAGCACCATTTTAAAGATTAAACTTTTAACTTTAAATTGATACCAAATTCATTTAAATCACACCAGTATTTAAAAAGATATCCCGCCTAATGTGAAGAAGTAAGGAAAAAGACATGTATCAACTGTTTGATACGTCGCGAGTTGCGGCCTATTTACCCCCTATAAAAGCAAGTGTTTTCGGATTTTTGCTTTCACACGTTGATCCATACACATCTCCGCTTCTTTTGACACTTTACCTTGGATTCTACACCTTCCGAAGCAGCACAAATCGTTGCACTGTTGCAAGAAGGGCTCAGCCAGCGGGCTGTCGCACATTAGTTCCACATAAGCCAGTCTTGGCTTTCGAAAGTTTTGAGACGCTTTCGGGAGACTGGTGGCTTTATCCCGAGACCAAGTTCTGAACATTGCCGGTGCACATCGCAGAGGGAAAACCGTTTTTTCATGTCAACTTCGCTACGAAATCGTCATTTGACTGGTATCGACGTCCAGCAAGAGCTCAGAAATGTTCGTAGGATACCTGTTAGCAAGTGGACAGTTCGTCTAAGATATAAACAATAGAATTTGACTACAGTTCGTCTAAGATATAAACAATAGAATTTGACTCCAAAAAGGCCTGCCACAGGCTTGAAACTGATGGCAGGTCACCGATAAGCACGCTTTCAATTTGCTCCTACACATCTCGATGGGAAGTCGAGCAAACCACCCCCATAAGCCAATGTTTTAGCGAACCAGCACTGCACAAATCGCTCCCCAGGCCGTCTATAGACCCGACCTCTTCGACTGCTGCACTGCAAAAACAGTCTGCATTCATCGGAGAACAAAACTCGCCTCCATTACTCGCCTTCCGAGTGCGAGCTAATTGAAAGCGTGCTTGTCGGTGACCTGCCGTCAGTTTCCAGCCTGTGGTAGGCCTTTTTGGAGTCAAATTTTATTGCTCATATCTTAGACGAACTGTCCACTCGCTAACAGCTATCCTACGAACATTTCCGAGCTCTTGCTGGACGTCGATACCAGTCAAATGACGATTTCATAGAGAGGTTGACATGAAAAAACGGTCATCGCTCTGCGATGTGCACCGGCGCTGTTCAGAACTTGATCTCGGGATAAAGCCACTAGTCTCCAAAAAGCGTCTTAAAACTTTCGAAACCCAGGACTGGCTTATGTGGAGCTGACGTGCGACAGCCCGCTGGCTGAGCCCTTCTTGCAACAGTGCAACGATTTGTGCTGCTTCTGTAGGTGTAGAATCCCAGGTAAAGTGTCAAAGAAGCCGAGATATGTATGGATCAACGTGTGAACGCAAAAATCCGAAAACACGTGCTTTTATAGGGGGTAAATAGGCCGCAACTCGCGACGTATCAAACAGTTGGTACATGTCTTTTTTCTTACTTCTTCACATCAGCCGGGATATCTTTTTAAATACTGCTGTGATTTAAATGAATTTGGTATCAATTCAAAGTTAAAAGTTTAATCTTTAAAATGGTGCTACTTTTTTTGTTACTAACAAATTCGTTAGTACACAAGATCGCGTGGAAACAACTTCATGTAAGTGATTCCATAGTTTTGCTCGCGAGTGTAGTTACGCTACAGTGGCGCCACTGGACCTGTTTGGCCGGCGTGGGAAGTATAAAAACTCATAAAAATCATTTATTTTTGCAAATAGTCCGAATCCTCCATTTGCCTCTGGTAAATTAGAGGGTCGTACTTCTGCAGTGGAGATTAAATGAACCGATGATACTGATAATGATGATGAAAGCTATTGATCCTAGCCAGTCCTGTAGCTACGATTATTAAGATGGAGGAAGGAGTTGCAAAGGCACTGGATACAGGCTGCTACCAACCGACCATTCTGGAATTTATTAGGGGAGGACTATGTTTAGCAATGGAAGTTCTAAGGCTGAAATAATGATGATGATAATCACCTTGAAACACTGTACTCTCCACAGTTCGGCCCGGTTTTCCCCAAAGCGGAGCAGAGCGGAGAAGTGTCGGGTGAATAAATTTATCTATAGAATTTGACAATGGATCTGTGCGGAGTGGAAAGGAATAGTTGAAATAATGAAATCTGATTGATTGTTATTATATTTCCGCTCCATTGTGCTCCGGTTTGGTGGAAACCGGGCCTTCCACATTCCAGAAGAGAGCTAGAGTTTTCAGAGCTCAGAGTAATGCAAAGTAGGGATGTTATGGATCTGTAGTTTCGGTTATGGATACGGTTACGGATATAGGAATAATATTATACCGGTTTCGGTTACGGTTACGGATATTTTTTTATTTCGGATATTCGAAAGTTTCGGTTACGGATATCTGTGCTTTATAATGCAATCAGTAATAGTGTTCATGGCCGCACACTTTACATCGAATAAAAAGTATATGGCATTATAAAGGTAAATCAGGCTGTTTGCCTTTACATATAATGCTATACAAAAAACAATTTAAACTGCCCACATCCTATCTATAACTTCTACTATCCAAAACTTTTGAATCGGTTACAGTTACGGTTTCGGATATTTTTTCATTTCGGATATCCGAAAGTTTCAGTTACGGTTACGGATATCCATAACATCCCTGATGCAGAGGTTATACGTACTTGACGTCATGAGTATCAGCCCTCTCTAGACACTGCATAGCGAGGAGATGGTGCAAGTAACCAGCGTCGCTGAACCTTTCCTCTGCCACCGCGTTTCCTACCAGAATCGTGAACACGTGGACCGCTGTCTCAATCTCCCCAGCCATGTGGTAAGCTGCAGACAGTACAATACAGATACAGATTTAGAGTGGAGCGATAAATTGAACCAATTTTTAACGACGATGATGACTTAATATAAGATTTTAAACTAACGTCGCAGCATCGCAGCCGAAACGTCAAGCCGTGAGTACATAATGTAACTCATTAATAAACGTCGCGTTAAGACCCGTGTCTTACTATTTTAATAGACGATGATGACTTTCATCTTCGTTTTCAGTGGAACAGTTAAGAGCGTTTACGTCTAGCGTGGCATGTCAAGTTTAGGTAATTTCGATGCTATTTTTATTCACACTAAAATAATTGTGACTGTGTGCGTGTTCTCACGCTCTATAGTCAAACCAAAATACTTTGATCCACCATCGTAAAAGTGTGCCAGGCTGTCAAGTGACAGCTCAAGGAAACTATAAAATCTTCAAATCTTCCAACACCGACTCCATAATTATAAATCATGGTATACATTAGTCCTAATAAATAATAAATACGTAAATTCTTTATCAAATAGTAAATTATCAAAGGTTTTTTACTATTTTAAGAATATTTTATACAGCCTATGTTCAGCAGAAAAAAAATTGAATTTTAGTGGTTATAATATTTTTTCAAATCGGTTCTATTCAAAACAAACTTTTCCTGTTAACTATTCTTTTTTTATCCGGAAAATGCATAACATTTCATACCCACCAGCTGCGGGGGCAGCTAGTGGGTTATGTGGGGTTCTTCCTACCAGAAGGTGGGTAGCCCCTACACCCACTAAAAACCTGACTGTTTCTGCCATGATCCATATAAGTGATATGAGGGAACGCGGGACATCGCCATTGGCTGTTGCCTGTAGCATTCGTCCTTAGCCGCCACCAGACACCTCCATGTCTAGCGACCGAGGCCTGTTAGGAAGGGACAGTTGGAGACCATAAGCTGTCCTCTTGCGCCCAGGGTGTCGGCGGCGGATAACCGGAGTGTCGGCTGAGGCCTCTCGCTCCCCCTTTCCACTGCTTCTTTCTGTGAAAGTGTTCTTTCAGCACGTAAGTAAGCACACTATACCATAAGATTATTTGTCTCATCATATATTTTATACCTACTAATGTAGATATTGTTTCCGAAAGCGAGCGGGTTCATTCCGTACCTGTACGCTTCATGCGTTCTCTAGCAAAAGCTGAAAATCAGTGTTCTGCCCTTTTGAGGGTAGTGTTTATACTGAGCTCTTTGCTTTTTGCATCGCTGCGGCACACATCACTCTGACGCAGGGAACTATTTGAAACGCTAGTCATCTTTATCTTATGTTGTTTTGTCACTTTTGTTATGTTGCAACTGTTGAAATTATTAATAACCTGTGTAACAAAATACCAGTGGTGTCACCTAGTGTGTTTCTTGACTAACTTTATTTCGATATTGAATTGAATTTCAATAGCAACTATACATAATGTGTGTGTTAAAAGCATTAAAAAAAGTGTGTTACAACAAATAAACAGTTTATCTATCTATCTCACGCCTCTTCCCGATTGGTAGGGAGAGGTCATTTCCAACCGCCGCTCGTTCGCTTAGGCTGGGCACTGTTGGAGCGTGTCAGTCTGCTGCGGTGACTCACGTGCCAAGACTGTAGTGTTAACTGACAACCATCTACAGGCTCTCGGCCTATACGGTGGAGGAATGGCCCGAAGCACCCATGGCCCGGTAGAACCTGGGTCGCCCTTTGTGTGAGGCGATCATGCCGTCGCACCCACTCCTCTAATACAGGCAGAACTGCCTCTATGGTGCGACGTAAAATTTGGCTGACGGCCAGGCGTACCCTTCAGCACTCTGGGGCCTAGATCCTCAAGCCTCTACCTTTTGGTTTCCACCTCTCGTGGTGCACGTACACGTACATTTCCCCTTGGGACCTATGGTCACCTCGCAACTGGCGTCTATTCTCGGTTGTCGACACTAGCTTTGTCGCCACTGAGGATAAATGGCATAAATAATATCGATTGTCACCAGTGGTGACACATACTTTCCCAGTTGTAGCTACAGGCTTTCTCACAACTTAGGTATGACAAATTAGAATAATACATCCCAATTATGCCTAGTGGGGACGTACACAAATATTGACGCAAATGTCATCGTGCATGACATACGTAAAGTAAAAGTCAAGTAAGACCAGATGAATACAAATATTATTAATTTTATTTTGAACTAGCGGCCGCCCGCGACTTCGTACGCGTGGACCTCGTTTTACTCCTTAGTTCGTAAAATCTGTTGTTTGATATCATGTTGATAGATGGCGTTTCACGGCTTCCCCCGCATGAATATTTACGAACGTCAAAAACAGTAGTTTGTCCAGCACTGTAGATTTTAACCAATGACGATAGATTGCGCTTTTTAGACACGTCTTATTTATTTATTGAAATTTATTTGTCACATATCGTCATAAATTATAGCCTATAATTATGTTAATCTGGTTTATAAACAATAATACTGTAAAGTTTCAACAAAATCCGTTCAGTAGTTTTTGAGTGAAAGAGTAACAAACATCCAGACATCCAAACGCATTTATAATATTAGTAGGATTGTTATACGTCGCCACTAATGACAATATTTTTTTTCTCATTTATCCTCAGTAGGGACATAGTCAGTGTCCATAGGACTGCGGATACTATGCGGTATCCACGAATTACCTCTGCCTGTGCCTCAGTGATATCATGCGTTGCGCTTTTTTGAACAGTAGGATGCTCCACGACTACACAGCACTGTGCCATACTCGAGCCCCATATAGGACCATATAACGCGCGACGCAAAAGTATAGTCAGCGACTCAGTGCAGCCGGGCCTCCGAGATTAGGCATCAACCGGCTTAGTGCGCCGGCGGTAGCCAAAAGCTTAGGGGTGAGACGATTCAAGTGGCCGTCAAATGACCACTGTCCAACTAACTACAATCCGAGGTACCTACCGCAAAGATTTTCCGACTGTAATATGTTGTGTATGTTCCCCCTACAACTAGGTGGGACCCTGCTGGCAGAGCATTCCTATTAACTATTCTGTAACCACCTATTTATGGCAAATAAATTATTAGTATTATTCCTCTTTATAATATTAGTAGGTATACATACATAACTTGCTGTTCCAAATTTTCGTCATTCGTTTTCGTTTCATCGCTAAAAATAACTTAATTTTATTTTTCATTACGTCTGAAATAGAATTTGTAGTAAAAATAGACTGTAATGAAAAATAACAATAAAATATTTTAATTACCACGTGATCGCAAAATCTACCACCAAGATTTTGCGGATACACTATAAAAGTCCAGCTACCTGTCAAAGATCAACGTACGCGTGACACATGTCAGCAGAGCACCGAGCGACGTGACCTCACTCTGGAACGCCTCGAGGCGGACTGAATTTGAACGATTCGTGCGCGGCGTTTTATAGTACTTTTCAAATACTCATAGAAAAAAAATTACAATGAATTATTTTAAATTTCAAAGTAAATATTTTAGATAAGATATTCTTCTATTATATTAAGCTATTTTTGTGTTGAATAAAGGAAGAATATTGGTGAAAAAATCACTTTGATTTTTGGGTATTTCACGTTCTTTTAATTTGTGATTTCTTATTGTAAAATGCTTAAATCTAAAAATTTTCTCAGATAACTATTTGCCCAAGGATCTATGCTATAGGATATAAATGTTTGTTAAATCGTTTTCACAGTATTTTTATAAAAATTTCAGCTTGTAAACTGACGCTAAAGTGGAAATTTACAAAACCTGTGTGGACTTATCTTGATAGAATTCTTAAATACTAAACTAATCGCAATATTTTCTCAATTAACTATTTAGACGATGAAATTGCCTAACTACTTATGCCTATAACATATTTGTAATATTACTGGTTAATGATTGTAACGAGTTGAAAAAGTACTGTTTTTGCGCCAAACGGCGTAAACGCTCTTAATAAATACATCAGGGTGTTTGCCACCACCAATCAATTGACGTACTTTTTAAAACTGTCAAAACAAGACTCCCGTAGATTTTGTATGGCAATACTAGCCAGTGACGTCACTATTTTGTACTATTTTCAATTACAATGCAACCAAAAATCTTAATTTACAGCTAATTTAAAATTAAATTAAGTTTTTAAGACCAGAATGAGGTGCCTTTTTAAAAAAGTTGTGCTTTAGAATTATTAGGGAGTGGTGGCAAATACCCAATTATTTTCAGTTCTCCATAAAACGCAGCATCAAAGCATAATGTGAATGCATGTAATAGCACGTCTAATTTTGATTTTAAAATGTTTTAACCAATGTCAAGACGTGTTTGTAACCTACATCTGAATAACGGTATCTTTCAAACATAATTACCAGGCCAAAACTTACAAACTTCAAATTCCTTATGATATTAAACTGGACCCTAGTTATTCAATAGCAACTTATTGATCTACAAGTTGTGTACCAACTACCAAGACCAAGTTATTGGAAAGTCTTCAGATAAAAAACAAAGCTTCAGTCAGACAAACCTTTCTGAGCTTCGACGAATTTGTTCTCGCGCGCCATGTGATGTGCGTAGGGCAGATACACGTCCCGTTTACATTCGGAGTGCTCGCGAGCGAGCGTGAATGCTCGGGACCATTCGCCCGCGGATATGGCCAGTTGTGCTACTTTCCTGGAGATAAATTATTGCATTATGAGTATTTTTTAATAAGCGCAAAATTGGGGTCCAAACTGAATCTGTCACCACGATCACGTGATTAAAGGCGATTTAAAGACACGCCTTGTATTCCCAAATTAATGCGGCATGAGGGAATGTAGTAAGACGTATACTCGACTTCACTTCAGAAGTTCCGACTATAATATGATTGTTAGTTACTTTGCTTAGTTTGGGGCTAGCGGCACAGTGTAAAATGTCCAAGGATATTTATTTATTTTATTTTATTGTTGAAATATACATGTGGATGTGCTGTCATCATAGCCTGTTGTCGCCCGCACATCAGATCTGTCATTTTTGTTGTAAAATAGCACCTACGACAACCACATAAGGACGTGCTGCCATCTACCTGTAGTCGCCGAGCCGCTGATACACGTCGGCTACGGTGACGAGCTTGCTAGCAGAGACGTCTGCTGGGTAGATGTCACAACGTTGTTTTTGCAAATTAGTAGTAACCTAACTACTACAACCACATAAGGACGTGCTGAAATCTACCAGAAGTCGCCAACTCACTATGCAGTTGTCAAAGCATTGTTATTGCAAAATGACACCTATTACACTCAACATAAGGATGTGCTGACATCTACCTATAGTCGCCGAGCCGCTGATACACGTTGGCTACGGTGACGAGCTTGCTAGCAGAGACGTCTGCTGGGTAGACGTCACAACGTTGTTTTTGCAAATTAGTAACTTCTACAACCACATAAGGACGTGTTGCCATCTAAAGCCTGGTCCGTGAGCACGTAGAATCCCGTCCAATGACCCCAAGCTACCCATCCATATCGCTCGCGCGTAATTATGTTGCTGTCGCGCTCGCACACTCACTGCGGGCGCCCGTCGCACAGTCGCGACAGCAACATAATTACGCGCGAGCGATAGGGATGGGAAGCTTGGGGTCATTGGTCGGGATTCTACGTGCTCACGGACCAGGCTTTACCAGTCGCCAGCTCACTAGTAGTTGACATAGCATTGGCATTGTTGTTGGAAAATGACACCTACTACACTCAACATAAGTACGTGCTGTCATCCTGTAGTCGCCGAGCCGCGTCGGCGGCGGTGACGAGCTTGCTAGCAGAGACGTCCGCTGGTAAACGTCACATCATTGTTATTGTAAAATAGCATCTACCACACCCACATAAGGACGTGCTGCCATCTACTAGTCGCCAGCTCACTGTGTAGTTGTCATAGCATTGGCATTGTTGTTGGAAAATGACACCTACTACACTCAACATAAGTACGTGCTGTCATCTACCTGTAGTCGCCGAACCGCGTCGGCGGCGGTGACGAGCTTGCTAGCAGAGACGTCCGCTGGTAAACGTCACATCATTGTTATTGTAAAATAGCATCTACCACACCCACATAAGGACGTGCTGCCATCTACTAGTCGCCAGCTCACTGTGTAGTTGTCATAGCATTGGCATTGTTGTTGGAAAATGACACCTACTACACTCAACATAAGTACGTGCTGTCATCTACCTGTAGTCGCCGAACCGCGTCGGCGGCGGTGACGAGCTTGCTAGCAGAGACGTCCGCTGGTAAACGTCACATCATTGTTATTGTAAAATAGCATCTACCACACCCACATAAGGACGTGCTGCCATCTACTAGTCGCCAGCTCACTGTGTAGTTGTCATAGCATTGGCATTGTTGTTGGAAAATGACACCTACTACACTCAACATAAGTACGTGCTGTCATCTACCTGTAGTCGCCGAACCGCGTCGGCGGCGGTGACGAGCTTGCTAGCAGAGACGTCCGCTGGTAAACGTCACATCATTGTTATTGTAAAATAGCATCTACCACACCCACATAAGGACGTGCTGCCATCTACTAGTCGCCAGCTCACTGTGTAGTTGTCATAGCATTGGCATTGTTGTTGGAAAATGACACCTACTACACTCAACATAAGTACGTGCTGTCATCTACCTGTAGTCGCCGAACCGCGTCGGCGGCGGTGACGAGCTTGCTAGCAGAGACGTCCGCTGGTAAACGTCACATCATTGTTATTGTAAAATAGCATCTACCACACCCACATAAGGACGTGCTGCCATCTACTAGTCGCCAGCTCACTGTGTAGTTGTCATAGCATTGGCATTGTTGTTGCAAAATGACACCTATTACACTCAACATAAGTACGTGCTGCCATCTACCTGTAGTCGCCGAGCCGCTGATACACGTCGGCGGCGGTGACGTGCTCGCCGGCGGTCACTAGGGCTTCTGCGACGTACCGTAGAGACTCGCTGGAGCCTTTGTCCAGCTTGCGGGCTAGCTCGATCAACCTGCGGACACAATAACAATAAATATTAACCAGTAACTTCTGGATAAAACTATGACCTCTCTAAACGCCCCCACGCGGCGACTCGTTGCCAGTATGTTGTGCCAGGCGTTCTATACAAACTGACTTGTATGATCGCGACTTCCTTTCTCACTTAGCAAGACGGCAACAATAGATGGCACAGCAGACAACATTTTTGTTGCTACTCGCTCTTTCACGAAAAGTACAATTGACGTCACATCTATTTTTTGTTATAAAATAGCACTTCTACACCCACATAAGTCAGTTGCACTCACATGTCCCGACGGCCGCTCTCGGCCATGAGCTGTGCCGCCTTCTGTACGTCGCCAGCCGCCAGATACATCTCTGCATCTGCTCGCAGCTCATTCACGTGGCGCACCTACTCCAGTGTATTGCGATAGGCGTTCTATAGAATGATTATTTGTATCTTCTTATCTTTTACGACGAAGACTCGGTTATCGCCTTAGTTACTCACATGTCCCGACGACCGCTCTCGGCCATAAGTTGTGCCGCCTTCTGCACGTCGCCAGCCGCCAGATACTTCTTAGCGGCGGCTCGCGGCTCATTCACGTGGCGCACCTACTTCGCGAGAAGTTACAAAATAGCATCTACTACACCCACATAAGACACAGCCTATAGCTACACTCACATGTCCCGGCGGCCGCTCTCGGCCATAAGTTGTGCCGCCTTCTGCACGTCGCCAGCCGCCAGATACATCTCAGCGGCGGCTCGCGGTTCGTTCACGTGGCGAGCCCACTCTGCGCGGCGCCGCGCCAGCGCCGCCAGGCCTTCGCCCTCGCCCACGTACTCCTGGAATAAATATACTTGGAAATGTGTACACACTGCAGGACCCATGCAAAGCCAATTTCGCAAACAATTGTATATTGGTCCGAACACGATTTGTCTTTTTGTAAAGGCTGATTTACACGTATTTTGGGCAAGGCTTGTCACTTGACACGTTTTGACAAGCAGTTTCATATGACACAAGAGCTTGACTGCTTAAAATATACGCTTGGTCATACTTAGACCTAAAATTAAGTTATAATTTAGTTATCTACTTAACTACTTAATGCGCTGTGAATATACTACGTTTACTTGCACGAGTTAAGTCAGCGCAGCGCCATCTATTGGTAGGCATAAATACATTACTTATAAACACTCTTACACTACGCCTAGTCCAAAACTTAGAGCTTGTAGTTAGATCAGTATCCATAGTCCACAACGGATCGGATACTTTTGTCATATTTTTTTTAAATACTAGGTGTAACTTTAAAACAATTTGCTGCCTAAAAACTACCGTGACCTATTTTCCTATCTTCAGCCCATAATGTGTATTTATTTTATTGTATTTGTTTAACAGTGTTTCAACAGCATTCAAATGTACTATCGGGGACTCGAACGCCTTGACACCTTAAGGGCCTAAATTGTTTGCACACACATGATCGATAATGCTCCGCCCCCGTTCATTCATGTTTCGGGTCTAAGCAGCGTCGGCGCACCACTGTAGATGTTTGCCCTAGCAAACCAAACTCTATGTAAAGCAATTAGGATTGAGTATTGCTTATTACCCGCATCCGTAGCGCTCGTTTGGCAACGTCGCATTTTAGTCAATTTGAAACCCAATAAAAAATCGCTACAAAATATTATATGAGGCTTCGTGTAAAATTTGAACTAGCGATTGCCCGCTCGGGTCACAAAATTGCTATCGCACATTCCGAGGTAACTATGCAATTTCCCGAGAAAAAAGTAGCCCTTTCTACAATTATTGTTGATATTATGAGTGTAAATCTCATGATATTAGTTTAGCTAGTTAGGGCGAGAAATACAAAATCATACAGTTGCTTTCGAATTTTACTTATTTAATAGGTATTTAATTTATTCGGAACTTATTTAAACAATATGTTATTGAATTAATTAGTAAAGAGTTAAGGAATATTTGTGGCTTAAAACAATTATTGTAAGATCTGGCTATAACTTTCTTAAATCCTTGAATGTAAATAAAAACTTATAATAGGTTTCTATTTATTTTTAATGCATATTTTGTTTTCCGTTTTAAAGAAACACTTATCTTTAAAACGGAACATCTCACATCCAGGTAATTGGTTATCGTAAATATTATAATATTCAGTTAGTTTTATTTCAAATTCAATTTTTTATTGCACATTAAGTGTCTTTACACAAGGTCTTAAATCAATAACAATTAAACTTCAAACTAAATAATACTTAAACAGTTAACAATGAATAGATAAGTTTGTAAGTAAATATAAGAATTATTTTGAGAGGCATGGTTCAGTAATCGAGCGGAGGTCAATAAAAAGGCAATCAAACAGTCCAATTACTAGCACGGGTCAACACAAATCAATCGGTTATTGATCACGAAACTTCACAAAAAAACAAAGGAGAGAATATGTCGACAGATCGCCAAAGCAAAAAGCAGACAGACCTCGTATAAAAACACAATATTAAAAAAAATACATATCTATTTGTTTGTAACCAAATTCTATTATTAAAATTCTAAGGCTGAGTTGCACCATCTTACTTTAACTTTAACAAACGTCAAAATTCTGTCAAACTCCATACAAAAAGGACCGGTTACCGTTATAGTTACGGTCAAAGTTAGGTGGTGCAACTCAGCCTAAAACTAAGAAAGATTGAAGAAAAAGAAACATTTCGTTTTAAACCTTAACCGTATGACAATAAAGTGCACAATGGTATTTCGTATTGCAACCTAAGCCCTGATTGTTTCTTATTGGTCGTAGTAAAAATATAGTAAAATGCGTAACCAATTAGAGACGGGGTGAGCACGTGACCGGAGCGATGCGCTTACGCTAAAATTTCTACAAAGTGGTCAGGCGGAAGAGTCCCCGATAGTACATACATGTGCAGGAAGACACAACTTGAACTTGTTGTGTAGCTTACCTGTGCCTTGCAAACTAAACAAACACAAATCAAACATGAACATGACCGAGGAAACTCTGTGCAGATTCTGCCACACAGAAGAAGAAACGGCCATGCATGTTCTTTGCTCATGCGGCCCGCTTATGAGCAAAAGAAGTATCCATCTCGGGCGACACATCATGCACCCGGATGAGATAGCAGATATCGCGCTCCAAAAAATCTGGAAATGGCAATGCCAGATTTTGTATGGAAGGTGGCGTCTTTTTTTTTTCGCGCGGCCATCGACCAAACTTTGTTTTTTGATTACAAAATAGTGTAATAAAGCAAACTTACTATGACATGTATACCTCTAAACTTAGTCTGAACTGAGTTACGAGCGTTAGAAGTTTGATGATTTACATACTAGATTTGCTTTTTGTGCGCAAGTTTTGTAAGAAATTGCAACAAAATATTCCGCTATTTTTTTAATGCGCTGATTCTACTCCTCACTAATGTCTGGAGCCTTTAATGGATGGTATTGTTTGTTTACACATACAATGTCACTATTTTGTTGCAATTTCACACAAAACTTGCGCGCAAAAAGCAAATCTAGTATGTAAATCATCAAACTTCTAACGCTCGTAACTCAGTTCAGACTGAGTTTAGAGGTATTAATACATGTCATAGTAAGTTTAGTTTATTACACTATTTTGTAATCAAAAAACAAGGTTTGGTCGATGGCCGCGCGAAAAAAAAAGACGCCATTTTCCGGCATTGTCTTTTATAGACTCAACGGGACTAAGCAGTGAACTCTAAACACAAGGGCTGCCACAATAGATCAAACCTGGTCGAGCTGGCGCAAATGAAGGCCCAAAAAACCAATAATAATAATAATACCTGTGCCTTGTTGAACATTCGCAGGTCGACGTACAGGTTCAAAGCGCGCTCGTCTCGGCCCACGCTGTGGAAGGAGCGCGCGGCGTCGGCATACCGCCCGCGGTACGCCAGGACCTCGCCCACGATCACCGCTCGCTTCTCGCCGGCTTCCAGGCGCTCCTACAAATCTATACTTATAATAAATCTGTAGAGGTCAATTCTGTACATGAAATATATTTTCAAAATAACTATCAGGGGGTGATTAGTGATCGATACTGATGCCAAAAATGCAATCAGTAAAATTTTTGTCTGTCTGTCTGTCTGTCCGTCTGTCTGTCTGTCTGTCTGTCTGTATGTTCCTTATAGAAACAAAAACTACTTGACGGATTTTAACGAAACTTGGTACAATTATTCTTCATACTCCTGGGCAGGTTATAGTATACTTAGGAATTCCCACGGGAACGGGAATTAGCGGGAAAATCCTTTTGTATGAAAAATCTAAACCGCTTAAGTTAGACGCTTGAAATTTGGCATGCAGGTACCTTAGTAAACGTAAAGCTTAGTTACAACAGGATATTGCAAAATTCCCACGGGTACGGGAGTTAGCGGGAAAAAACATTTGTATGAAAAAATCTAAACCGCGTAAGATAGATGAAGGGGGTAAAACGGGATCCACGCGTACGAAGTCGCGGGCGGCCGCTAGTAATAAATAAGAGCGCTTTCACTTTCACGTCACTAAACCTTTGTTTGTCACCTGTCATCCGCTTTGCAACGGAGGGAAATCGAACCTTAACTTCGAACTCCTCCTATGTTCTTCTGATTAATTTCGTTGCGGGTCCAATGACAGTCTAACTTTCCCTCGGGGCAAACTTGTCCTTCATTGGTTGGGTTTTTATTGGCGGTCAAGCTGTAGATCCTGGCTACACAGGAGTTGCAGTGGAGCTGAAGCACTGCACAGCAAATCCCTTCACACTACAGCGGCTGTAGCGCGGCTAAATCGCGATGCCATTGCTAGCGACAATCGCGCTTCACAGTCGCGCTACAGACGCGGGTTGAACTTGGGGTGGAACGAAGGTAATAAAAATATGAAACAGAATTACATCAAGTACAACATACAAGTTTAATAACAAGCATTCAATCTTACTAATATTATAAATGCGAAAGTTTGGATGTCTGGATGTTTGTTCCTCTTTCACGCAAAAATACTGAACGGATTTTGTTGCAACTTTACAGTATTATTGTTTGTAACCCAGATTAACATACAGGCTATAATTTATGCCGGTCTGGGACACTAAATATCACGCGGGTGAAGCCGCGGGCAAATGTACAATAATTATAATGTACATTTTGTTATTAACAATATTGTTGGTTAAAATATTCTCATTTGTTTGCAAGACTCATTAAATATATTATATCGAATTCACTTGTTTTTCCACTTACGCAAGTTTTTAGTCCTTTCTATTCCTATTTTATTGTTATAATCACAAAAGCGCCTTTGCTATTTTAGTCACAATTACACAACTTTTTCTTCACTATTATTATCTTTTTGCGTAAATATCAGCTCAAGACAATCTTTCGGGTGACATAACCGTAGCTTACTAGATTCAATCCCGAGTATCGACTAGTTAAATCTTGTGTTTACGGTCTCAAATATGCATTCAATGAACGCAGTCACGCGAGGCAAAGTTGCAATAAAAATGCCCTGTCTAATGATAACGCATTAGTACTAAAATGAGGAGTTTAAAAGGGGAGTTGATAAAATCACATTGTTTTTAGTTTGAGGGTTACACCCGTATTCACAAACGATGCTTGCTTAAGTGAAGCAACAAATCGAACGCACAGCGTTGAATAGAGTTCTGGGATTGGTTCGTGTGTGACCCTGTGCATCCGCGCGCACTGTGAGACCTCATAGTAATGTTTGTGAATACGGGCTTTAGAGCACAGACTTTTTATCGGCCGATAGTTTGGTCGGTTTGTTAATCAATATAAACGTGTATGTTACACCGATTTGGAATCGACCGATTCGTCATACAAATTACACGTTCTTCAAACTATCAGCCAACTGAAAATCTGTAGTCTGCGAACTTCAGTACGTACAGTGCGTCCTTCCATACATATTCTTACTGAATTGTAGCTCGATCAAAATATCTACAGACTTTAAAAGTCAGTAATCTGTGGGTTGTCTTGAGAATTTGCTATACTATACTAGATTGGCTTTCAGTAGACAGCGTCAAAGTGAATGTATTGATACGATCTGACAGTACGGGCACGAGCATAGAACGCAAACTGACAGGTGCGGGCTGCGTTCATTTGACCCGTGGGTCTAGTCAAAACGCACTTTAAAATCGCAAACCCATCGCAAACCAGTCGCAAACAAATAAACAAATCGCAAAAGAGGTCGATAACAAAAAAGGCTTAGCCAAACGGCAAAAAATCGAATCGCAGAGCCCTACCTATCTATAATCGAAAGACTGGATTGAAATTTCCCATACAAAGGCTTAGCCAACATGCATTTAAGACTCAATCAAAATCGAATCGAATCGCAACACCCGCCATTTTCATTGCGATTACTTATACCCCGGTGATAAGCTTCGATTATATCGAAAACCAATAGGGTGAATTGCACCACCTAACCTTGACCGTAACTATGACGTTAACCGGTGTTTTTTGTATGGAGTATGACAGATTTTACAAAGTTAAACTAAGATGGTGCAACCCACCCTAAGGCTGTTTTGACAAATCCGTATCGCGATGTCGTTTTGACAGCGAAGCATAGACGTAAACAGAGAGCAGAAAGAAGGAAGAAACTAATTTAAAAAAAAAGCCATAGAAAAAAAAGTCATAGACATTTTTTAACTTTTATTCGAATTCGAATGAACTTTTATATCGCCGCGTCGTTGGTGGTTCAATGTGCATTTTGGCTGCCATTTTTCGATCGAATCGAATTACTGGTGACGCGGCGACTGACATTAGCGAAATCTTCCTATTGGTTTGTGATGGCATTTTGACTAGACCCACTGACTTCAGGAGACGTAGTGTGACTACGTCAAACGCATTAGATATCGACTGCGTAAAAAAATGTCATTTAGAGACAGCGCACACTGGGTGAGAAATCGCGGCGACAGACGCGGACACAAAACGTGTGTCATTTCATATTATTAGCTTGTCGTCGCGACATGTCGCGGAGTCGCTAAATGTATGACAGATTGTACAGCGCCCCTAGCGGAAACTTTAAAGAACTATAATCTTCATATATTTTTTAACGTGCTCGCTAGTGACGACGTTTGATGTAAATTCACACTAAGCCCCCAGACCTCATCCAGTGTGACAAATGCTTCAAGGTCACTAACCTGCAGATGGTCTATAAGAGTGAGGTAGACAATGTTCTCGCTCCGCTGAAAGGCTTTCCTCGCGACCTCGAAGGAAAGCTCTTCAAGCGCCGCCATCCCAAGCCGCTCCCAATCTGAAGGCGTCACGCCTAGACACGCCACAGCGTAGGCCTCGCTGGAATCACATTGAATTAGATGCTTTGCGTGTAAGTTGTTAAGGTTTAAACCTCAATAACAAGATATTGATTTAATTGGTTGTTTTTTTAACTTCATTTTTTATTGAAATATATTGCCACTGCTACTGGGTGCCAGTAGCACACCGCCGCGAAATAATGACAGCCAAACAAATGCAGTCAGCATCGCGTCACTCGGCACGAAGTCAACGAGGTTATATGAACAGATTCTTTACTAGCATTTAGATTATTTTAAGTCCCAATTTACTAATTTGCTTCCTATTTATTTTGTTTTCATTTATTTGAGAAAAAAATTAAAGATATCTGATAAGATTGTGTTAAATAATACTCATAATCTATGCCCCACCATAAAGAGAAGATAATTAAATTGCGTCTTAGCCGCTTGAAATAAAGAAATAAAGTTTAACTCACTTGAAAAGCTTTTGTTGCGTGTATTGATGAACAGCGTGAGATAATGGAACGTTTATCGTCTGCATCGAATTGGCTTGCAAACAAAATACTCGACCACCCTGAAAACACATAACAAATAAACTATTTAAATTGATATCTACTATACATACAGGGTGAATTTGCAATCAGTGACCAAATTTTTAAGAGTGACTCAGAAACGGTAACTTAATCGATTTTTTTTTTTTTAATAAATATCCTTAGACATTTTACACTGCGCTTCTAGTCCCAAACTAAGCAAAGCTTGTACTATGGGTACTAGACAACGGATATAAACATACTTAAATACTTTTTTTTTTGTAAATACATACAGAACATTTACATAAAGAAAACATCAAAATGTTTCATATTTAATTATTCTTATCCGCTCGGCGCGGTTTCAAAATTGGCACACATGGATAATTTACTCCGTTCATAGAAAAATTAACCCACAAGTAACTGCAAAGTTAATAGACATAATGGTGTGCGAAAATAAGCTTTAAAAACTTAAGTTATGGGTACCCACGAATTAGATTTTCGATTCTTTTTGCGAAAAATACCACGATTAAAAATAATTAAGATAAAGTAGTAATGTTAAATTGTTCTACAGAGCTTATTAAAAAAAAATGGATACTATTTACAAAATCATCTTGTATAGGTCGCGTAACTAAAGTTGTGGCGAGCACATACTGATGTAATATTTCAATAAACAATATTATTACACATTGAAGTTCAAAATATCGAATACACCAGCTACCTCGCTCTTGTTAAGACTTAACACACAAGCGATACAGAAAGCACTTTTTACTCCGCCTACGCAAGACGTCCGCGCAGACAGCGTATTGGGACCGAGCGCGACGACAGCGCCACGTACCGTACACGGCCATTATGGGCAATATTGTCACCGCTGACAAGCAAGAAGTAAGTAAATAATGTGAATAAATTTATGAAATCTTGTCTTATTTTACTATATTTGACAATTTTGGACGACGCGATGGTAGTCAGTAACATTATTGCCAATAACATTAAAATTGTTGTTTTCAGTGAAAAATGAGCCTACTGATGACTAAAACGGGTTTTCGTGCCATCATCATTATCATTTATATCTTTGGTCTCGTTTCCACCACGGTCTTGGAAATTGGTAAAATTTACAGTCGCTATTCTTCTTGGTGTTATTACAATTCACAACAACACATCTTACTAGAACCATATTTTATCTCAAAAACGATTAGAAAATGTTTACTGCAATATGGATTTGACAGCTCAAGTCAGCGACTAAAATGTCAATTTTAGCCGCAGCGAGCGCTGTGATCGTTTAGACTACTCCCTCCACCTGCTTTGCACCCTGCCAATACAGATACAAAAAATGTTGATGGCCTCAACTCTCGTTGCGCGACCTATAAATACCCGCTACTTAGCGCGCGACGTAGCAATGTTGCTACTCTCTCGCTTGGCATTGAACTTGCTTTAAAATTCATACAAGACTGAGGGATTCAATACAAGCCTCACTACGACAAACCAAATTCTTCGAGCAGAGCAATGGACTGCATCTAAAAAATATGCAAACCTAATTTAGGTATGTCACATACCTGAAAACCGACTACAGAGCCAATAAGGGGCTGCGTGGCCGGTGGGAAGTTGCCTGCCTTGATGGACAGCAAGCCTCCACCGGAAAGACCCAGTAGTTCATCGCACCACGAGTTCCACGAAACCGACGATACGTTTTCTTCCTGTTAACATAAAATAATCTTATTACACTTTAAATAATATGCTATTATATCTCTATAGAATAGAAATAAAATATGATATTCTTAAAATAGGTAACAGTCACCGCTCACTTCTGAGCGAGTCACTGAAAAGTAAAAATTGAGAATAGTCCATCCATGTTTCTTTATTATTTGATCTATGTTGACCAAACATTGTTGGCATTCGTTCGCAGACATCTGCCTTTATTTCGTGCCGTGCGTCACGGCACACCGCGGCAAGGCGCACTCAAATACGTCTAAGTGGCGTACACTTGCAAACGACGTACACAGTACAATCATGATAGAGCTACATCAACGAAGACTACTGACCGTGTACAACAGTTCCCCGGTGGGCAGGCTATACACGCGACACACAGACGCCTCGTCTACGACTGCCAGGCGTCCGCGAGATGCGCTCACGTCTAAGCAACGTACGCTGGCCGGCGTCTGAAGAATCATTTTGGAGCTGCCATCGCTTGGTTCCACTTGCCATATCTAGAAAAAAACACACTTTGAATTGCCGGTACAAACATTTTAAAAATCTAAATATCGCAATGTGTAGTTTCATTATGCCAAAAAAGATCAATATACATACTTGACCATTCAAGAGTCCCAGTAATAAAACTTCTTCAAAATACAATGTGGTTACTTTAACGTAACGTATTGCAGTGGGCACCGTCCAATATTTCGGCACACGCCTTCCAATCATCACTAATTTTGTATCCTGTGAAAAGAGGCATAGTATATTGCATAAACGTATTCACTGTAGTGAAATAATTTTAATAAAAAAACAAAACTAAACAATTTACGCCTCACAGGCGTATTTTCGGTAAGTAAATGAAACTACTCTGAAACATATTACTTTCTGAATTTATTTTGCAACAAAATGTGCCTAAATCCACTAAAATAGCGATTGAGACATGAAAACTAAATAAAACATAGACAGAACAAATCTTTTTCACATTATTAATAAAACATACATACATATGTTTTAAATTTACCTGACAAAGCAACAGGGCATCGCTAGTGGCGACCAACAGGGAGCAGTCAATCTTCTGCGACAGCTTTTCCTTGACTCTGTACAGCATACCGTCTACGTCACCTTGCTCGTACACTACGACCCGTTCAGGCAACTGGACCTGCGATGTTGAAAAAATTAAAATTAGACGATATATTCAGCGACACAAAACTGCATCACAAAACCAACACAAAAGTAAATAAAATAACAAGTTTTACCGAAAGGGCAGGGCAGGGTTTTTTCTGGATTAGAAGAAGAATGCATTGCATATTCTCGCAATAATTAAAAACAAAAAGCAGACTGACAAACATTGTACAGTTACAAAATTTCCTAATGTTTTTTCAAACACGATATATTGCATACATCGTCATGATATCATGACGGTATATTCACGCGGGTTCCCTACGTTTTATCGAAAGTCGTTTCATCGAAGGTCGTTTCATCGAAGCCGTTTCATCGATTGGTCATAATCTCGAACGTACGAAATATCGAATCCCTTATCATCGAATGGTCACATTATCGAATGGTCGAATCATCGAATGTCTTAGTGTCGAAAGGTTGTTTAATAAGTATCAGATATGGTCGTCGTTCTGTCTCCTTCCTAAAGTTGCAAGTCCACATTGTATAACTGCCTAAATTGTAAGACCTAATGTGAATGCTAATGTGGTTATGCAATAAACGATTGAGTATTGAGTATGGCAACATGGAAGGTGACGTTAGGCTGACTTGCACCATCTTACTTTAACTGTGACAAACGCCAAAAATCTGTCAAACTCTATACATAAAACACCGGTTATCGTCATAGATACGGTCAAAGTTAGGTGGTGCAACTCAGCCTAAGTTAGTTTAAACCCAGCTTTTTTTACAGCGACGCCTTGCAAAGCGTGTTGCGGCCGTGGGCTTCGGAGCAGGTTGGGAGCCCACACGATGGCCACGATGACTCCTAAAGTACCAGGCTTGGATAAACTTTGAGGAAGTAGCGGTTCTTCTCGTCGATACTTTAGTATCTTGGAGCAGGCACAAGTCACATTCAAACCATTCAGCTCCATATTTCTCAGTCCTAATGACTCCTGAAGTACCAGGCTCGCATAACGCCCAAGGCAGTAGCTAGTGTCATCTTACCTGAACAGCGACGCCTTGCAAAGCGTGTTACGGCCGTGGGCTTCGGAGCAGGTTGGGAGCCCACACGATGGCCACGATGACTCCTAAAGTACCAGGCTTGGATAACCTCTGAAGAAGTAGCGGTTCTTCTCGTCCATACTTTAGTATCTTGGAGCAGGCACAAGTCACATTCAAACCATTCAGCTCCATATTTCTCAGCCATAATAACTCCTGAAGTACCAGGCTCGCATAACGCCCAAGGCGGTAGCTAGTGACATCTCACCTGTACAGCGACGCCTTGCAAAGCATGTTGCGGCCGTGGGCTTCGGAGCAGGTTGGGAGCCCACACGATGGCCATATTCCGCGCTGTCATGCCGGTACTTTCTCCCAGTAGGGACACTCGGCGGAGGTGACGCATTAGGTACGCTAGGGTCCTGTGGGGAAGATAAATACAGAAGTTTGAAAAAAGACACTTTGCAGTGTAATTTTGAATAAATAAATAAAGAAATAAATTAAAAAAATTGAAGTATTAGCACGCCTGTCATGACAACTGAAGAGTTCACTTTGACACTCGTAATCAGTAATAGACCAGGTTGTCATAAGAACGTAGGTTCTGTAGCCCAGCTAAAGTATCAGGATCTCATAACAACTGAAGAGATTACTAGACACTTCTAATCAGACGTCTGGCATACATACGAAGATCACAGGTCCAGCTAAAGTACCAGGCTCTCATAACATCTGTAATATACCAGTTTGTCACTGACCTGTAGTGAGGAGGCGGCAGTTTGACCACAGTGTCTCTGACGGCCCTCAGTTTGGAGGCCTCGTCCGGCTGTTGTACTGCGCTCACGAAGCTCTCGTATAGCTGGTACGTGCAAAGCGGGTTTGGGAGCTCTCTGTAACAATGCAAGAGTATAAGAAACATTACGGAGTCTTCATCGCTTTCCGGTACGCGGCCTCCACTCCAGAACCTTGCTACCCCATCGGCCGTCAGTTTTGCGTACTATGTGCCCTGCCCATTGCCTCTTCAGCTTGCTAATCCGTCGGGCTATGTCAGTGACTTTAGTTCGTTTACAGATCTCCTCATTTCTGATTCGATCACGTAAAGAAACAATGACGGAGTCTTATGTAATTGCAATAGGTGCTGTTTTACATCAAAATGTGACATGACTACGAACCTAGAAAGAGACACACACATTTTTGGTCACATTCCATTTACCAGCACTTCACGACTCTTGAAGTACCAGACACGCATAACCTCTAAGAAAGTGGCATCTTACCTGAAGTACACTGCGCCTCACTTGACTACCCTATGGTCCCAGTCCCTTTGAAAGGACCAAACTTACCAACAAACCCTTGACGATGAGTCCTGAAGTACCAGGCTCGCATAACCACTAAGGAAGTAGCATCTCACCTGAAGTACATCTTCAGCAAGCTAGGCACGGCGTGGGGGTCTCTTGCGACCGCCGGCGCGGTCAATTCCGGCGCGGTTCCGGCGTCGAAAGCGGCTCGGAGCCGTTGCGTGAGCCCCGACCCGCCGGACAGACGATACACGCCGTCTACAGCGCCTCGGGCTTCGATGGCGCGTGCGCACTCGACTAGTACTTGAGGCACTGTGGGAGAATGTACTATGATTAAAAGTTAGACAAGAAATGAAATACGATTTTACCTGCCTAGCACTTATTGCGTGTTATGTAAGCAATTTTTAATGACTGTGTTTTATTGAAAAAGAGGCTGACAAAGGTGACTGAGTTTCTTCCGCCACTTCTTCTCAGCACCAGCCCATATGTTGTCCCGAAGTAGTGGTAGGGCAAGCTATATTTGGGACGTGTATAAGCGCCCTAAAAAGGGCCTATGTATGTACTGAATAAACTATTCGAATTTGCAAAAAAAAAAAAATTTAAAAAACAAGCTTTTATTAAAATACTCGTAAATACGAATCAAACGAGCCCTAACTCGATGGGGTTGTGTAGTTTTATTGAGGAGATCCTATGGCCACCTTCCAGCTCCATCATATCAGATCAGCCCCAGGTCATAGCCAAACAATTGCTTCCTCCGTTATAAGATCGATTATAAGTTTTTAATTCATATTTACTACCTAGAAGTACCAGGCGCCCATAGCTATGGAAGAACTAACTCACCGCTTCCTCAGGATGCCTTTTAGGCCTAGATTATTACTAGAATTTCTAGATTTAATAAGTCTATAAAAGATTCTCACCGTCAAGTCCAATAGGTGTCAAGTGAACTCACATTCCCTCAAGACATCATCTTTTCACTATCATCCATACATTTTTGCTACCTAGAATTACCAGGCTATCATAAACTCACGATCTTGTCCCACATTGAGCCAATCAAGCTCCCTCAGCATGTCTTTTAGTCCATACATATTCGGGTTGTAAGTACCAGGCGCCCATGACTGATAGAAGAACTAACTCACCATCATGTCCTACATTCAACAGGTGTTCTCCCAAGTCACAGCCAAACACTCGCTCCCTCAATATGGCCTGCTGCTTCAGACTCCTTCGGGAGGGTCGAGACAGGATGAAAGACCGGAACAGACTGAACCAACTGCATTCCCTCAGGATACCCTTTGTTTATCAGAGATTTTGCTTACTATCCTATTTCTAGTTTCTAGATTTAAGATATAAACGCAGACGTCTCCTCGTCATCCTCTATCACTGGCTCCATACATTTTCTGCTTGGAAGTACCAGGCGCCCATAACTATGGAAGAACTAACTCACCGTCATGTCCAACATTCAGTAGGTGTTCGCCCAAGTCGCATCCAAACACTCGCTCCCTCAGTATGCCCTGCTGCTTCAGACTCCTTCGGGAGGGTCGAGACAGGATGAAAGACCGGAACAGACTGATCAGCTTGCCATGCTTCCGAAGGACTGGTTTCACTGGGGCCACTGCTACGGATCTGGAAAAAGAGGTGATGATGGTAAGTTTTTTGACGAAAATAGATATTGCGGATCGAAGAGTCAGGTATTACGAAACAGATAAATCTGCTGAGGAATTCTGAGAACAATTGATAAATTAACTACGGATGAAAAAATAGGCCTTAATCTTAGAAAACATCTTAACTCTCTGAAAGTACCAGGCACCTAGAACTTTGAGGGATACTCATCAAATGAGGGCTATCGTTTTTATACTAAACATTTGGCACCCCTGGCGATTGACAGGACCTTACTCTACAGTGGCGCCATCTTGATGAGTGCAAATGCGATAGTCCTCCTACCACTTTAGCGCTCACCAGTTGGCGCCACTGTCTTAGCTACTAGCAAGTGACAGGACCTTACTCTACAGTGGCGCTAACTGGTGAGCGCTAAAACGATAGCCCTCATTATAGGCGGGTACAGATTTGAAATACTAGTGCCCGTTTTCACCATCAATCCCTAATTTTTAAGTGACCGACCCCTATGAAAACAAAATTCCTGTTATGTGTTACCATAGGAGTCACTTAAAAATTAGGGATTGATGGTGAAAACGGGCATAGGAATCCTATCTATACATCTGGTATAGGGCAGTACTTATTTATTCATGACCTAAGTACCAGGCGTCAAGAGCCACTAAGGAGTCGTCACTTACCCAACTATAGGCGGTGGTTGCGTCATATGCCTGGGCACTTTATCGCCAATCACAGCAACACAGTGGTGCGGGAAGAATCCCACTCGGAACCCGCGTTTGCCGCGCCACCATAAGGACTCTTGGGGACCTGTGGAAACAATAGTCTTCATCATCATCATGTTCTGCGAGCACGTAGAATTTCGTCCAATGACCCCAAGCTACCCATCCTTATCGCTCGCGCGTAATTATGTTGCTATCGCGCTCGCACACTCACTGCGGGCGCCCGTCGCACAGTCGCGACAACAATATTATTACGCGCGAGCGATAAGGATGGGTAGCTAGGAGTCATTGGACAAAATTCTACGTGCTCACGGACCGGGCTTTAGTATGAAGGCCCTTTTCAGGAAAATTTACGCTTGACTTGCCATAACTTCAAGACAACATTTACCGGCTGATGCTGAGAAGTATCGCGTGAAATGGCGGTGGTAGACTCTCAGACTTTGGTCAGATGTCATTTAGCATTATTAGATAGAACCAATTCTAATAAATGTAGACCTACCCGGCATATCGATGATGGAGATCATATCTCCAACTTCGAAGCTTATTTCGTCCCGTGCCTGCAAAAAACAATTATTTTTAAGAATGTTGATACCACAAACCAGGTTTTAGGGCTAAAAAGTAATATTACTGCTGATTTGAACTGACTTTTTTACAAATCGGATACAGTTGGTAAAGTAGAATTAATTTTAACTGACTTCAAAAAAGGAGCAGGCGGATCGTATTTCTTGTTTTCTTCTTATTATTTACTAGCTATGCCCCGCGGTAAAACGTAGCCTGTTTTAATCCAGGTTATCAGCTAACTCCATACCAAATTTTATTACAATCACTCCAGCCGTTTAGACGTGAAGAAGTAACAAACATACACACTCTCAAACTTTCGCCTTTATAATATTTGTGTGATTTACCTGCGACACATATTTCCTGACGGAGTAAGCGGCTGCTACAGCTGGAGTGTTGATAGAGCTGGAGTCTTCGTTCGCCACCAGTAGTTTGTGACCTGCAACAAATTATTATGTTGAGAACTAAATAATTAGACAACAGTTCTCTGAGGCCATTCTGAGGTACCAAGCATTCAGAGATAACCAAGAGTTATGTATGTGTTACGGTCAAAGTGATAAATGTGAAAATTATGAATAATCGCCGGTTATTATGAATAATTACCGCATGATTTGGTAAATGTGATTAATATGAGGTCATTTATGTGTGTATAAAACTAAATAGGCGGCTTAGGGGTGGCCCAAGGGCCACCCCCGCCGCACCTTAACCTATTTTTCACTTTAAATCAAAACATTATGTTATAGGCATCATGGAAAAGTAATATTATGCAAGAACCACTCCAAACTCATTTTGCCAAATTATATTAATATATGATATCAAAACGTTCAAAAGTTTGGCTGTACACGAGCACGTACACAAGATGTTGTTCTCTTTTATGAAATTTGTTAGTACTAAGCTTGAATTATTAAATAATCACTGTTAAATGTGATTCATTTATCACTTTTACCGCGACTGTCGGTAATTATTCATAATAACCGGTTATTATTAATAATTTTCAATTTATCACATTAACCGTAACATATGAACCCTATCGAGGTAACATTAAGGTTCTCACCATTATTGTCCATCAAAAGAGGGGGAAGAGGGCAGCAAGTAAGCATTATATTCCAAATTGTACCAGATCCATATTTCCTGGATCTAATATCGCCCGTATTCTAGACACAAAGTACCAGGCGCCCAGAGCTGACCAAGAGGTACCGCTGCCTCTTGCTAGACCGTGCGAATTGGGGTGCCAATATCACCCCTATCCCAGTAACAATAAGGTCACCTTTATTATCCATCTGGAGCCAGTTGAGCACGGGCCTGCAGCCCCGTAGTGAGCGAGTCGTCGAGGTGGTGCGCGTAGTGCGCTATGGACCCCGGTGGTAGTGCTCGTCGTGTTGTGGAGGCAAAACGACGGAGAGTGAGGCAAAAAGAAAGAAAGAGAGAGAGAGAGAGAGAGAGAGAGAGAGAGAGAGAGAAAGAGAGCGGAGATGATCCAACTAGCAATGCGTCAATGTACCAGGCGCCCAGAGCTATCCAAGAGTAATCACTACCTTCTCATAGCTATTGCTACAACTTTAGGCCAGTAGAATAAAACACAAAAATTGATTAAATCGGAAATAATTCCTACAAAAGATTTTTTTGCTTTAATGGCTTCATTGGTTGCCCATTAAGACTCTCCTAAGTTTTCGACTTCGACGGAGTTGTGCTTAAGTGGTGGGGGCCCCCGAAAGGGGCGTTTATTCGGTTTTCCGGTTATACCGCGTAAAGGATTTACCCTATCGAAAAGTGGTCTTCATGACGGTTAAAGGGCACTTAATCCTGCATTGAATAAGACCAAATTCATATGTTTTGGACAAACCGTTCTCGCGCTAAAGTTCGGCAAAGTAGAAAATATACGTATAATTAATGACCCTCTCCACGTCCAATGGCTTGTTACCCACATGCTTCCAAGCCTTGTAAAGGGTCGCCTTAACCAGTGTAACCCTAACAAGGCTCACGAGTTTGATTCGCTTATCCTTGTTCGTCCCAGCCGTTCCTTAACTGCGGTTGCTGCACCTCTTCCTGGCACTCTCCTGAACGACTCTGTGTTACCTAATGTGGCTGCCCCTCTTCCTTGTACCCTCCTGTACGATTTCATTGCTTAGCCATATGCCTGGTCCAAGGTTCGACGCCACAAAATCAACTTCGTACGAGTGAAAATAGTTTAAATACTATTTCCCGTGCTTGCAACATTTTTCTTTACTGCTTCGCCTCTATTAGTCGTAGAGTGATTGTATATATCCTATAGCCTTCCTCAATGTATGAGCTATTCAACACAAAAATAATGATTTCAATCAAACTAGTAATTCTTAAGATTAGCGCGTTCAAACAAACAAACAAAAAACTCTTCAGCGTTTTAATATGAACTTGTTGTTGTTGATTTTTGGCGTCGAACCTTAGACCAGGCATACGGCTAGGCAACGTAGTCATGCAGGAGGATACAAGGAAGAGGGGCAGCCACAGTAGGTAACACAGAGTCGTTCAGGTGAGTGCCAGGAAGAGGTGCAGCAACCGCAGTTAAGGAACGGCTGGGACGAACAAGGATAGGCGCATCAAGCTCGTAAGCCTTGATAGGGTTACACTGGTTGAGGTGGCCCTTTTCAAGACTTGGAAGCCTGTGGGTAACAAACCATTGGACGTGGAGAGGGTCATTAATTATACGTATATTTTCTACTTTGCCGAACTTTAGCGCGAGAACAGTTTGTCCAAAACATACGAATTTGGTCTTATTCAATGAAGGATTGAGTGCCCTTCAACCGTCATGAAGACCACTTTTTGATAGGGTAAGTCCTTTACGCGGTATAACCGGAAAACCGAAAAAATGCCTCTTTCGGGGGCCCCCACCACTTAAGCACAACTCCGTCGAAGTCGAAAACTTAGGAGAGTCTTAATAGGCAACCAATGAAGCCATTAAAACAATAAAATCTTTTGTATGAATTATTTCCGATTTAAAAGCTAATTCTACTGGACTACTTAACATACATGATAAGTGTGTTATGGAGAAAGAGAGAGAGACGGATAGAATTAAAAAAAAGAGAGAGGAGAAAAGAAGAGTGTGAGCGTCAATGTACCAGGCGCCCAGAGGCATCTAAGAGTAATCCAAGAAACTGCTTTCTGGGTCAAGTATTGCCCCTATTCTAAACTCAAAGTACCAGGCGCCCAGAGCTGACCAAGAGGTATCGCTGCCTCTTCCTAGACCGGGATGCCAATATCACCCCTATCCCAGTAACAATAGGGTCACATTTGTTATGCATCTGGAGCCAATTGAGCACCGGCCCGCAGCCCCGTATAGTGAGCGAGTCGTCGAGGTGGTACGCGTAGTGCGCTATGTGGTAATGCTCGTCATGTTGGGAAGGCAATACGACGGAGAGTGAGACAGAAAGAGAGAGAGAGAGAGAGAGAGAGCGGAGATGGTCCAACTAGCAATGCGTCAATGTACCAGGCGCCCAGAGCTATCCAAGAGTAATCGCTACCTTCTCATAGTCACAGCTTAGCAGACCATAGTGTGAATGACGGAGAAAGAGAGAAAGAAAGAGAGAGGGAAAGAGAGAAAGAAAGAGAGAGGGAAAGAGAGAGGGAAAGAGAGAGGGAAAGAAGAGAGTCTATAGATACTCAAGAATAAATCGCTGCTTCCCAGCTGCCATTATCACCCCTATTCCAGACATTAAAGTACCAGGCGCCCTGAGGTAGCCAAGAGGTATCAATCAATGCCTTCGTCTGCCAAATACCTACATGCTAACATCTCCCTTATCCCAGTCACAATAAGGAGACCTTTATTATCCATCTGCAGCCAGTCCAACACGGGCCCGCAGTTGAGCGAGTCGTCGGCGATGATGGACAGGTGGTGGGCATAGTATCAGAGAACGAGAGAGAGAAAAGGAAAAAGAGAGTGAGGGAAGAGGAAAAACTTATACAAAGCGCGTCATGTACCGGGCGCCCAGAGCTATCCAAGAGTAATCTCTGCCTTTTCATAGCTATTGCTACAACTTAACATACCATGATAAGTGTGTGATGGAGAAAGAGACAGAGACGGATAGAAAGAATTAAAACAAAGAGAGAGGAGAAAAGAAGAGTGTGAGCGTCAATGCACCAGGCGCCCAGAGCACTCAGAGCTATCCAAGAGTAATCTCTGCCTTTTCATAGCTATTGCTACAACTTAACATACCATGACAAGTGTGTGATGTAGAAAGAGAGAGAGACGGATAGAATTTAAAAAAAAAGAGAGGAGAAAAAAAGAGTGTGAGCGTCAATGTACCAGGCGCCCAGAGACATCTAAGAGTAATCCAAGAAACTGCTTTCTGGGTCTAGTATTGCCCCTATTCTAAACACAAAGTACCAGGCGCCCAGAGCTGACCAAGAAGTACCGCTGCCTCTTGCTAAACCGTGCGAATTGGGGTGCCAATATCACCCCTATCCCAGTCACAATAAGGTCACCTATGTTGTCCATCTGCAGCCAATTCAGCACGGCCCCGCAGTTGATCGAGTTGTCGGCGATGATGGACAGGTGATGAGCGTAGTGCAAAGAGAGAGGGAAAAGGAAAAAGAAAGAGAAGAAGGAGGAACAACATATACCACGCGCGACATGTACTAGGCGCCTAAAATATAGTTCCAAAATACTGGACTGTCCTGTCAATGACATTGACAGTGGGGCGCCACCGTCAATACCGGATCGCTGGTTCAGATTTTTGCCATGTTGGAAACCATATAGTTGAACGATGGTAGCGCCCCCCTGTCATTGAGTTTGGCGGGACAGTTCAGCGTGGGTCATCTATACCCAAGAGTTTACCTTCGTCTGCCAATATCGCCCCCATTCTAGACAAAAAGTACCAGGCGCCTAGAGCTGACCAAGAGGAATCTCTACCTTCTCATGCTACAAAATAACTAGTGTCCNCACTCAGAGCTATCCAAGAGTAATCTCTGCCTTTTCATAGCTACAACTTAACATACCATGATAAGTGTGTGATGGAGAAAGAGAGAGAGACGGATAGAATAAAAAAAAAGAGAGGAGAAAAGAAGAGTGTGAGCGTCAATGTACCAGGCGCCCAGAGACATCTAAGAGTAATCCAAGAAACTTTCTGGGTCTAGTATTGCCCCTATTCTAAACTCAAAGTACCAGGCGCCCAGTGCTGGCCAAGAGGTATCGCTGTCTCTTGCTAGACCGTGCGAATCAGGGTGCCAAATCACCCTTATCCCAGTCACAATAAAGTCGCCTTTGTTATCCATCTGCAGCCAGTTCAGCACGGGCCCGCAGTTGAGCGAGTCTTCGGCGATGATGGACAGGTGATGAGCGTAGTGCGAAGAGAGAGAGAAATGGAAAAAGAAAGAGAAGAAGGAGGAACAACATATACCACGCGCGACATGTACAGTCACGGAATGAAAAGGTTCGTCAGTTTTCAAATTCATTCCTTCAACGAA